CTAGCTAACAAATTGACTGGGGACTGCACTGCCCGCTGTTAAAAATTTGAAATCTGTGAAGACTGGAAGTTCAGGGAAGCAGCACTGAGAAAGTGAGAGAGCCAACAGCACTGATAGTTGAAAACTTCAAGTTCTGGGGTAAGAATTTTAACAAATAGTTTAATAGGGAATGTTTATTTTATGGTGATCAATTTGTTAAGCAAAAAAAAAAGTAAAGGGTTTAATATCACTTTACATTTTTTATTACTTTATACATTTATTTTACACAATTTAAAAAAAAAAAAAATCTACACTTTACATTCCTGTATAATGAGTTTATTTTACATCCCAATTTTCAGAGATTTATAATGGATCCATATTTGAAATATATCATAATACGGCTGCTTAAAGCATTTCATTGCATAATTTATTACCATAATAAATACAGGTTATCTCGATTCCTATGAACTTTATACATTAAGACAAAAAGTAAACTGTACCTCCAGATGTTAGTGTAGTATATTACTCCAGATGTATCTGATCACATGAAAACATGTTGAGTATAAATACAAAACCAACCATAGGTATCTACCACTACAAGTTAGGTTTGACAATGGGATTTACATGGCTGTCACGCAGCATATGTCAAACATTCGAGCAGATCATTATACTGTGCTGTGCAGGTGTGGATCTCTGTCATCTATTCCCTGGATGGCTTCATTCATCAACCCAGACCTGACCAGCAATTTAAACACATCAATTTCACATGAAGAACCTTGTATGTAAGGCCCTGGAAAGGGATTTATTGTGATTTATAAGCATTGCATTTACTGTGCTGTATATGTACTAACTTTCCTTACGTTGCTTTCTCTCTGCCTTGGAAGACACCTATGTCAAGTCTCATGCCTTACTGTAGTGCTGAACTGGGAATGAAAGGAAAACAGCAAGTGACTAGCAAAATTGGTACACGTGGGAGACAGTGGGAGGTGTGACAGTTTAATTCTCGGAATTCCTGCGGCATAACATTTTGGTGGTGAGTCACAGAGCCACTCGCACTCAAGCGTGTTTTGACATGTTCTGACTTACACTCGCCTGGGTTGCAGACCAGTTGACTCAGTCTTTGCGGAGTAGTAGAAGAAATAATAAACGTTCCACTGTTGGCAGAAAACAAGTTTCTGGAGTAGCGGATGAACATCAAATTTTGCATGAAAATTGGCAAAAGTGTGAGTGAAAGTTTTGTTCTGTTACAACAGGCTTATGGTGACCATTCCATGAAGAAATCAAATGCCTTTGAAAGGCATAGGCGGTTGTCAAGGTCCTACCTTTCCCCAGAGGTTATGCTGCTCCATGTGCTGGCATCCATCTTAGGTTTCTGCAAAGCATGGTGGGAGTCTTTTATGCTTTCAGGCCTCTGCGGTCCATCCCCCAGAGGGGTGTGGTTGATCACATTTAATCCTGTTGTCTGCACTTGCTCTTTGCATTCGTGTCCTGTATGATTGTGTTGCAACAAGTTCTTGTTCTACTCTCGTGACTCTCCTGGAAACCGACTCGGCTTTGACTAAGACTGTTCTCAGCCTTATCCCTTTATCTGACCTCCCGTTGCTGAAACCGGCCCGTGACTTGTGTATTCTTGCCTACCGTCCGGTACTGTCTGTCCCGCTGTTATCGACCCACCCTGTCCGACTATGCTATAGTTTCCCATCTGGTTCCCACCAGCTATACGCCATTGGCGGTGGCCATTACTGCAGCTGGGGTTACTCGGGGGCTGCGACCTGGTCCCTGGCTGAGTCAAGTCCATCCCCGCCATCAGGGGCCCTGGTGAAAGGCAGCCTGGGGCTTAGACTCCGCGCCCTGAGGGACTCCGGTCTGTGGGTGGTGGTTGTCGTCAGTTGGTGCGTGACCCTACCTTTAGGCCTGCCTGTCCATTCCACCGCTCCTGCCCTGACAGCGGTTTAAGATGTGCACGATGACACAAGAAGTGGGAAGCCAAAAAAGATGCAAAAGATGGATGCAAATGTGGACAAAGGTTACAGGAATCTGTTCAGAGGAAAATACCAGAACTCTGGCCTGACAAGTGGATTCTCCACCACAACAATGCTCCTGCACATGACATGTTAAGTGTTTGCAAGTTCCTCACTCAGAAATCCATTCCAAAATTTGACCAACCACCTTATTCACCTGACTTAGCACCCTGCGACTTTTGGCTGTTTCCAAAATTAAAAAAAAATGTCTCATAAGGACTCAGATGTGATGACATTCTGGACATCCAGCGTGCCATGACAAATATACTGAGCAGCATTCAGGAAAATGTATTCCAGGAATGTTTTCAGCAGTTGCAAAGTTGTCTAGCAAAGTGCATCGCTTCACAAGGAGATTACTTTGAAGGTGACAACAGCCGCAAGTGTGTAGGTAAGCAAACATTTTTTCACAGTCCATTCCAGGAATTAAATTGTCACACGGCAAACATGAAATATAATACAACAAGAGTCAGATATGATTGCAGTATTTTAAAAAATATAGAATATACCAAACAAGAAAAAGTCTGGTGTATAGTATTATCACTGATTTCTGTATTAATGTCACTGGTGATGTCAGTGGCAGTTAGTCAGATCCCCTCCCAGTTTCAGTTAGTGTCAGATTGCCGCTGCACTATGACAGTCCCACTATAAGTTGCTGATCACTGCCATTAGTAGTATAAAATAAATAAGTAAATAAATAAATTAAAATTCCACTATATATACCATAGTTTGTAGACGCTATAACCAGGGGCGGACTGACCATTTGGAAACTCGGGCACTGCCCGAGGGCCAAGGGTCAGTAGGGGGCCCCATGAGATGCCCCGGTACCTTTTTCATAGGCTTTTTTGAGTTTGGGCAAGGACACAGGGGCCCCATGATCCCTTATTGCCCGGGGGCCCCATGAGTTGTCAGTCCGCCCCCGGCTATAACTTTCACGTAAACTAATCAATATACACTTATTGGGATTTTATTTTACCAAAGACATGTAGCAGAATATATTTTGGTATACATTTCTGAAGACATTTTATTTTTTTATTGGATATGTTGTCTAGCAGAAGTAAAAACAATGTTTTTTATTTTTTAATTTTGGTCTTTTTTCGCTTATATAATAAAAAATAAAAAAAACTAGTGGTGATCATTCCCACCAAAAGAAAGCTCTATTTGTGTGTAAAAAAATGATAAATGATAAAAATTCTGTTTGGGTACAGCTTTGCAGGACTGCACAATTGCCATTTAAATGACCACAGTGCCAAATAGCAAAAAACGGCTGGGTCATGAAGGGGGTAAAATCTTCAAGTGGGTAAAGAAAAATTATAAATTTACATCACTTTAATAACATTTTAAGAGCTAAAGTGATACTAGACTCTAGTTTAAAAACAATCTATCCAAATATGTATTCTTGACAAAAAAAGTGTTGCTCTCAGCCTCCTCAAAAATTTCTAGATTCCTTTTTGCAGCAATTTGACTTCCTGTTAGAGGGTGCCTTCGTTCAGTTACCATGGTCCCAGTGTAGAAACGTATCCACCTTCCCTTGATTGCTCTCGAGATGGACTATAGACTATGAAATATGGAATTTGTAGTGTACATAGAGCAGAGTACATGACCACAATTAACATGCTCGTTCCAAACAACTGAATTTGTGTGAGGGAAAAGGAGAGGTTTGGAAGCTCATGCAAGGAGACAGAAAAACACAGTAAGAAATTATTTTGTAAAAAATAGGTTACAGGGCTATTAAATACTGGATGTGTATGGATTATTTTTGGAGAATAAGGATATTGTTTAGTGTCACTTTAAAGCCCAACTGGAACCCAGAATTACAAGATTTGTATCCTGCTTTTTTACCCAAAAAACAGTCTATTCAAGGCCGTATGATGTGTTTTGTTTGTCGGCTCTCTGTATACAGGAAATAATGTCAACACAAAATGAGAAGCTATAAAGTTTCAGATTATTTTTAGAGAACAGCAGAATTTCTCACGAGTTACCCTGCCAACTTCCTTTTCATTTTACTTTAGAAAAATCACATTGTTTCAGCTTTACATGAGTTGTCAGCATGCTTCCACGAAGCATTGTGTAACTTTATGAGAGTGCTTTGCTTAACCTTTTCCAGATCTCTTATAGCTGAGAGTTTCAAACCAAGTTTACCTACAACCAAAAAAAAAAAGAATATAAAATATTGCAGCCTATCAGTCCTTAGATGCAGTGGTTACTGTATATTAGTTTTCTTTTTTTTATGCTTCTTTTCCTTTTATTTTTACCTGGTGACCCTGCAAATAACATACTTCCTGTCCTTGTGTCTACAGTCATTTCTCCACTGTATCAATGAGGGTAGCCATGGTTGTTACACAAGACTGGACTTCAAACATGTCAGCCTTTCTTCATCTTCATTACACAGTGAATTGATGGGACTGGTAGCTTACAGAGGAAAGATAATGTGTTTGTGTACTGTATTTCTGACAATCTCCAGGAATACTTGCTAAAGATGTATTTAGCCCAAAAAAGAAAATTAATGCATCCACCACATCTAAAGACTGGAAAGCTGCAATATATTACGTTTTTGTTTTTTAAGTTAAGATATACTTTAAAAAAAAGATTGATGGGTCCTGATGGGTGTTTGGGGTTTACGTGTTACATGGTATCCCTCAGAAACACAGATGATTCTCACTTCAGTTATTGCTCTTTTCTCTGATCTTCAGCAACCCTAAATCAGTATAGTCTAGCGTGGGCCACGGTACCTTTCTTTTAGGTTTATATACCCTCTTGGTTGTTCTTACATTTGGCCCTTTCTACAAATTTTCCAACACCGGCATAGAATCCAGCTTGGCAACGGCAATTTGCTAGGGATGTGCAGTGTAGTCACAAAAATTACTTTCCAAAACAGTAGTAAACAGCACCATATACACTACTGTATATAGCCAAAAGTGTTGGGACGCCCCTCCAAATCATTGAATTTAGGTGTTCCAATCACTTCCATGGCCACAGGTGTAAAAAATCAAGTACCTAGGCATGCAGACTGCTTCTACAAACATTTGTGAAAGAATGGGTCGCTCTCAGGAGATCAGTGAATTCAAGAGTGGTACCATGATAGGCTGCCACCTGTGCAATAAATCCATCCGTGAAATTTCCTTGCTACTAAATATTCCACAGTCAACTGTTAGTGGTATTGTAACAAAGTGGAAGCAACTGGGAACAACAGCAACTCAGCCACCAAGTGGTAGGCCACGTAAAATTACAGAGCAAGTTGCAAACGTTCTGCAGAGTCAATAGCTAAAGACCTCCAAACTTGGTGTGGCCTTCAGATTAGTACAACAACAGTGCATAGAGAGTTTCACGGAATGGATTTCCATGGCCAAGAAGCCGCATCCAAGCCTTGCATCACCCAGTGCAATGCAAAGTGTAAAGCAGGCTGCCACTGGACTCTAGAGCAGTGGAGACATGTTCTCAGGAGTGATGAATCATGCTTCTCTGTCTGGCAATCCGATAGATGTCTCTGGGTTTGGCAATTGCAAGGAGAACGGTACTTGCCTGACTGCATTGTGCCAAATGTAAAATTTGGTGGAAGGGGGATTATGGTGTGGGGTTGTTTTTCAGGGGTTTGGCTTGGCCTCTTAGTTCCAATGAAAGGAACTCTTAAGGTGTCAGCATACCAAGACATTTTGGACAACTTTGTGGGAACAGTTTTGGGATGGACCCTTCCTGCTTCAACATGACTGCCCGACCTCAACCAGATAGAATACCTTTGGGAGGAATTAGAGGGGAAACTGCGAGGCAGGCCTTCTCATCCAACATCAGTGCCTGACCTCACAGATGCACCTCTGGAAGAATGGTCAAACATTCCCATAAATACACTCCTAGACCTTTTGGACAGCCATCTCAGAAGAGTTGAAGCTGTTATAGCTGCAGAGGGTGGGCCAACTCAATATTGAACCCTACAGACTAAGACTGGGATGCCATTAAAGCTTATGTGAGTGTAAAGGCAGGCGTCCCAATACTTTTGGCAATATAGTGTACTTGTTGATACAACATGAAAACACATATTTACCCAGTTCTTCTCAACATGTTTCATGGTTCATCCGCTTCTTCAGGAGTGTTTGACATAGTGAATTTTCTATAAAAAGATAAGTACAACATAGCAAATGTACAGTGAATTATTATGTTGTACATACCTTTCTATTGGAAATTCACTCCATCAAACACTCCCAAAGAAGCGGATGAACCAGGAAACATGTGTTTTTATGTTGCATCAACAAGCATATGGTGCTGTTTAGTACTGTTTTGGAAACAATGGTCCAGCACCAAGAAAGTCTTTTGTGAAATCTTTGGAATAATGTTTTTAGTTATCTTAATGTACTATGTTTTGCAATAAACAAATATACATTTTCAACTTTCCACATTGGAACTGGCAGCAAGACTGGGGCAGGAGCTGCATGCTGACATCTCACTGCCACTTTCATGTCTGGAACTGGCAGCTTTCTGGGAAGTGCACTCTTTTATTTCTCATGACAATCATTTTACTGGCATTTGGATGAAGCCTTTTTACTTTTTTATGTGAAGTTTCTACTTTTTTATAAACATACTACACTATATGTGGTCCCTTGTTGCTCCGTGTGGTGATTTTTTTTCCCAGACAGTATCAAGCAAACCTTCTGACTGTCCCCAGTGTTGAGAAGAGGTACTGCAGGGTGTCCCCATTGTAAGAATGGAGCTGGTTGACCACATGTGAAGGATCCTGTTGACACAAACGGACAAGTTGCTGCTTTCCTCTAGCAATAGTAGGTAGAAGACACTTTCTCTGCAGTGATATTTATCACATATTTTGGACTTTTTTGCATTGGTCTTTTTATTTTAAATTTTTGAGTATTGTAGATGCTTTTTGCACATTATGAATGTTGTGTTTAGCACATGTTTTAAGCTTGTAATAATCTATATTTAGAGGTGCTGAAAGATTTTCTTTGTTGATCAAAAATGATCTGCATGACTCTGTCCAGAAATGAGAAGTCATCCCGTTGTTTGACATGTGAATGCCTTCCCAGGCTCGGCTCTGACTTGCACTTATTAAAGTACATGTCAAGCCACAAGCTTCATTTCTAGTTTTGGGTAACGTAGGGAAGGATTAGAGCCCCTAACACATTTTTACTGCTATCCAGAACTCCGTTAAAGAGATATTCCCTTTCTTCCTGTCCCACTGACAACTTTTTATCAGACAGGAAGTGAGGAGATTCTACAACAGCAGAACATAAATAAATAAAAAAGGGTTTTCTTTAGCAAAGTAGGGGAATGATAAACAACCTATCAGAATTTGTATCCTGGTCTGTCTCTCTGTTTCAAAGTTTCCATCACTTCCTGTCTCGTAAAACCACTGTTAGCAGGAAAGGAAGTGAGGGTATATTTCTCTAATGGAGCCCTGGATAGCAGTAAAATTAAAAGCAGGAATTCTAACCTTACTCCAAAAATAGAAAGAAAAATTGGCTTTACATACATTATAAGTTCGGGCCTTTGGGTTACTTTTAGTCCACCCCACCATAACCCTTTTTGGCTGTATCATTGTGTTGGTCCATAAGTCCTAACCCATTGAAACCATGGTTTACATATATTGCAGGGATGATAGCCAACTAAAGATAAATCCCTTATTTTTAAATTTGTAGTGGAATTGAGGCATGGAAATAAATAAAAAATAGTGCTGCGCTTCTCGCTATAGATAAATATGTGAAATAAATATCCACCAGAGGGTCTAACACATAAACCAACAGTTAATAGTGAACCAATCAAACGAACAAAAATATTTATATATAAATAGTTTACCTTATAGAGAGGAAAAAATTCCCTCAACAATAAATATCCAGCTGACCCTCTCTAACACATAATTAAATAATATAAATATTACAAACATATATATCATGAAAAATGTCTCGTCAATACATAGCTAAGAAATATGAATGACAATGTTCTGATACGGGAATCAATAAACACCCATCTAACCATCAAGTAAAAGCTGTGCAAAGCAAAATGCCCACAAATAATATAAAGAATACTGTATATTGTATATAGATCCTAATAGCTATCAATTTTCAGTGATAAAGAAGAATGTGTATTAAAAAACATAAATGGAATATAGCAATTAGAGATGAGCGAATTATTCAAAAATTTGATTCGGCTGATTCGCCGAATTTGCGGGAGAAAATTCGATTCGATGCGAATTTATTCGCTGCGAATTTAACTTATTAAAAGGGTTTCTAGGCTTCAGAGAGCCTTTATATTAGTGCAGAACACTGTACCTTTAATTTAAATGCCCTTGGAGTCTGCTGGGGAAGAGAAATAATACTGTCAGTCAGTATGACATGCAGATGAGTGCCGTCGATCTTAGAATCATCGCACACTTCACTCATTTGGGCAGTCACGGGGCACGACGAAGAAGAAGAATGAAAAGAAGAATGAAAAGAAGAAGAAGAAGAATGAAAAGAAGAAGAAGAAGAATGAAAAGAAGAATGAAAAGAAGAAGAAGAAGAATGAAAAGAAGAAGAAGAATGAAAAGAAGAAGAAGAAGAATGAAAAGAAGAATGAGAAGAAGAATGAAAAGAAGAATGAAAAGAAGAATGAGAAGAATGAAAAGAAGAATGAAAAGAAGAAGAAGAAGAATGAAAAGAAGAACGAGAAGAGGAATGAAAAGAAGAATGAAAAGAAGAATGAGAAGAATGAAAAAAGAAGAAGAAGAAGAATGAAAAGAAGAAGAAGAAGAATGAAAAGAAGAATGAAAAGAAGAAGAAGAAGAATGAAAAGAAGAAGAAGAAGAATGAAAAGAAGAAGAAGAAGAATGAAAAGAAGAATGAAAAGAAGAATGAGAAGAATGAAAAGAAGAATGAAAAGAAGAAGAAGAAGAATGAAAAGAAGAAGAAGAAGAATGAAAAGAAGAATTAAAAGAAGAAGAATGAAAAGAAGAAGAAGAATGAAAAGAAGAATGAAAAGAAGAAGAATGAAAAGAAGAAGAAGAAGAATGAAAAGAAGAATGAAAAGAAGAAGAATGAAAAGAAGAAGAAGAAGAATGAAAAGAAGAATGAAAAGAAGAAGAATGAAAAGAAGAAGAATAAGAATGAAAAGAAGAAGAATGAAAAGAAGAATGAAAAGAAGAAGAAGAAGAATGAAAAGAAGAAGAAGAAGAATGAAAAGAAGAATGAAAAGAAGAAGAATGAAAAGAAGAAGAAGAAGAATGAAAAGAAGAATGAGAAGAAGAATGAGAAGAATGAAAAGAAGAAAAAAAGAAGAAGAAGAAGAAGAATGAAAAGAAGAAGAAGAAGAATGAAAAGAATAATGAAAAGAAGAAGAAGAAGAATGAAAAGAAGAAGAAGAAGAATGAAAAGAAGAATGAAAAGAAGAAGAAGAAGAATGAAAAGAAGAAGAAGAATGAAAAGAAGAAGAAGAATGAAAAGAAGAAAAGAAGAATGAAAAGAAGAAGAAGAATGAAAAGAAGAAGAATTCCAGTACAGCAAAAAGTGTATCTGCAGAGAGCTCCGCTATTTCTGACAGTTCTCTGACAGTTCCTTCACATTTACAGCGGTTGAAACATTGTATCTATTTGTTTCCGAATAAAAACATCTGTATCCTAAATGGAAACAAATAGATACAATGTTTCAACCGCTGTAAATGAACTGTCAGAACTGTCAGAGAACTGTCAGAAATAGCGGAGCTCTCTGCAGTGACACTTTTTGCCGGCTGATCGGGGAAAATTCAATTCGTGCATCCGAAGTTTGCTAAAATTCGGATTAGGTGCGAATCGAAATTTTCCTAATATTCGAAATGAATTCCACTTCGCCAAGTTCGATTCGCTCATCTCTAATAGCAATATAGCAAAATAAACATAAATGAAATATATAGGAATATACCCAACTGCTCCTCTAGCCCCAGGAATTGCTAGGTGCCAAGGAGTAGACAGTGATAGTGAAAGTCCAATATGATACTTTAAACAAATCCCAGAAAATGTCCAACACTATTCAGCAATATAGCTTTATTATAGGTCTTCCACCTGATACCACGGTGTCGACCACCACCAGACATGCATGCTCACCTTCACAAGTTGACCTACAAAGAATACAGGTCAATATGTACGCAGTCAAAATCTTTTGATCCATTCAGCATTTCCAGGTTGGTGTTCTACATCAATGGATCAGTAGGGAAAATGTATACTCAAATAAAACAAAGAAGGCTCCTCATAATGCACTATATCATTTATTGATAAAAGTTAATAAAGGAAAACCACACTCACATAAAATACAAGGGCTCAAAACCCTTATAAAGCATATCACAAGGCTGGGATAAACAAAGATGGCAGCTGCCGACGCTGAACCAGAAATGACATCACCATGCTTCCATTCTACATGTTACGTCACGTACTACGTGACTTCATCTGGGATCTATTGTCAAGGCATGGATATCCCTTATGTTTTGAAAAGGCTCTACTGTGTTAGATAAAAAATGGTAAAATTAGGTAAATTCTTTTTTAACCACCAAAACAGACCTCTGGAGACAACAGACTGTCCAGGTTCCAACCTTTTGCTCTTTGATCTGGTATAGAGATTCTTTGCACCTATTACTCAAATACAACAGCTAATAGCAAAATTTACAGAAAAAAACTTTTCTCCCACTCTTTCTCTACTTATAGCCTCATTTTAAAGTGCACCTATAGCCCAAATAACTTTTAATAAAACAGGGAATGGTAAGTAAT